TATATATATATATATGCCATGATCTCTGCAAAGACACACTGGTATTAATGAAAGAGTTGCTAGAAACAGGCAAGACACGCAGAGATTTCTACTATGCTGCCAGCCCCCACTTCTACACACCCTTCTCCACAATTTTGTTGCAATAAGGACAGCAACTTAGGGAGAAGAAAAACAAGTTGTCAAATACTGAAGTGCTTTTACTTTGAAATTTCACATCAAATGCTAGAAAAAGTTGGTGAGCAACATTTGTAACGATTAACCTTTGTTTGTTTTTTAATATCTGTTTTTAGAACAAAAATTGCAAAAGGGATCTCAAAATGCAATAAAATAGTGATGGGCGTTGGTTCTACCTGATGTCCAACACTCAAAAGAGTATTTACCTTCATCCTCCAATGTCGGGAAGCTGTGCGCTCCTCTCAGGTCGTAGATATTCTCATCTCTCTCACAGGGCAGCTGGCTAATGGACCAGGCAGCACCAGGACCAGCACATTTAGGCACTGTCAATGACACACGACCCTTCTTGGATGGAGAGGACTTTAGAGCTGAGGAGCAATAAGAGTGAAATCACAAGTACATGTGTAGTACTTTCACCTTCACAGGATCATAACTAGAAGAGTCTAGTAATACTGATTTTGGTTAACAAAATGAACTATTTAATGAATATTTTATTTGTTTTAATTTGGTTTTAAAATAACCACTTTAATATCCCTAAAACTGCTTAACGTTGAATTCAAGTGGGATCAAGAATTTTGGGAAGATCTGCACCTTAAAACAGGAGCCTCGGTGTTTGTTTTTCCACATTTCCTTGTGTGAAAAGAACAAGCAGTACATTTTCCCCTCACACCGTGTTGAGCAGCACCTATTAAGGCGTTTAGCTGCTGTATCTGATTTTCCTAYAAGACTTGGCAGTAAAAGAGACCAAAACATGGCCTTTGACTTTTGGGCCTTTCCCCACGCTGCTGCCTGTGACTATGTAAGGCAGTGTCTCGGTGTAACGTGAACTCACAGTAGCTCTTCTTGAAAACGGTGCTGCTCATGAACTTGAAGAACCTGTCGGCATAGAAGCCTGGGCGATGGACCGATACTGTATCCTGAGAGGAAGGAGTAGAAATTAATAGGAAACGGCACATAAATAAAATGGTCAAACAGGCATTAGCGTTCAATTTTTATTTAGAAGAATTGTCAATGCTATGTGACATTCACACATATATAATTACTTTCTGCTTTTTTTTTACATTTTAACTTTAACCCCGGCCCTGGAACACAGTCCCACCC